AAAAGGAGGGTTTTTTTTTAAAAAAAACAACATCATTATATAGTAGTTTGCATTCTCTCTTTTAAATAGGTTAATGTTTAAACATTTCATTTCTTTCCCCCTTCCCACCCCCAAAATCTGGATCTTTTATTATAATATACAAGTATATATAACCAAACAATTTTTCCACCACACTGGTTATTTGTAAAAAGAGTCTCTGATACTGAAGAAAAGAATGGGGCATTGGCACAAACCATATAACGCTTTTTTAAAAAAATTACACACTTACACACACACACACACAGAAAGAGAGAGCGAAAGAGAGAAAAAACAAACTGAAAACAGACATAACTTGCAAGGGACTCAAACAACCTTCGTTTTTCGGTGAAGCGCAATATAATTAATGGTCAGCGCACAAGCCAACAAAAGAAAAGGAACACATTTTTAAGTAGTTTATAAAACATGTGGGGAGGGGGGAAGTAATAACAACCCCACACACATTCTTGCACAAAACTGAAGGCAATTAACAAATCCAAGAATTCATTTCTGGGGAAAGGGAAGACATGGCTGAAAGAAAAGGAGAAAAAGCGCAGAAGGGGACAGTCATTTTTTTATGCAGCCGATCGTGTTGAAGCTTGATACGGAAATGGAATGATGCGCTTTAAAACTCCCCTTCTTGCGTATGATTAAGATGAAGGGTAGGTGAGAGCAGGCTGGTTGACCCTTCAGTATGTTCTCCTCCATATATATATAGATATATATAGGAACAGAACTTGGTCAAATCGCTCTTTCATCTTGACTTTCAAGCTCCTCCATCTTGATTTTTCAAGTTTATCCCCGCACTCGCCACAGCTGGTTGGAACCTCGCAAACCCCACATCTTCAAAAAAGGGGCACTTGAAACCTCTGAGCAGCTCCCATCAGCACGAGCAAGGAGGAGAAGGAGAGAAGGTTGGTCAAGTTTGGCACATTTATGGCGATCAGAAGGACAGGGAGATGGGGAAGCGTCTGCCACGAAAACTGGTTTGTGTTAAGAGTATTGGAGGTCATTCGCAAGAAAGTGCACCTTCTCCACAAGTAAGCCTACAACCTTGCTCTACTCCTCCCTCAAACCAAGTTTCTTCGCGGGACCAACAGTCTGCTGGGCAAAACAAGGGTGGGTTGGACATCTAACATGTAGACCAGGCCAGGTGGCACAGTCCGAAAGAGGTTGCCCATTCTAAGCTGGGGTTCCAGCTCTGGAATCCCATCACTACACGTCCAGTGCCTGCAGTGGACACTCTTGGGCAAAGTATGCAAAGGAAGGAAGAGAAAAGGGAAGTTTCATAGATAGGTACTCTGGGTGATTGGCTTTGAGAAATTGTGGCACGTAAGTGAGAACAGGTCTTCTCCTCCACCAGTTGGCAAGAACAGAACATCTGATGCCAAGCCATTCTGTCCTCAGTGGTAAGCCCTCCTGTCCCTTGACATCCTTAAAACACTCAGGTGAGAAAAAATAAAGAGACAGATAGATATCAGGAATGTTGGTTAATCTGGAAATTGGTGACCCACCCAACCCCAACTCCCATCAACCCAACGGCACTTCATGTGTAGGATTTCTACT